GGGGCAGTCCTTCGGTCCTGTGGTGGCCCTTATATATACCCTTACCCGGGTGCCATTGCTTGTAGGTACATTTATGCCCCGGCAAGCCTGACGTTCACGAATTCGTCTAGGATTATGTCCTCTTCGGAAAGCTTCGGATTATCGAACTTCTGACCTTCGCTAAAATCTTCATCCAAGACTTCGAAAGCCCGATTTTCGGACGGTCAGAAAGTTCCTATCGCGTCCTTTAAACTTTTACTGAACTCTTATCGTTGGCCCTGGTTGAACAACTAGGAGCGTTGCTCTGAATCTTTTATTAACTTCGTAACAAGTACTTATTTTCATACATCTCGAGGCACGGATGTATATTATTCGGTCAACTCCAGAAAACGGTCTATGGAAAAGTTTTTTTACAAAATTTCAAAATTCCTGCTCATGAAATCCTGTTTGTCCCATTACAAGGTAGATCGGCAAGATATACTCGTGCGCTTCCTTGTTCCGGTATAAGAAATTGACTGGGTTTTAATTGCCCAAGGGATATAGAGGTCCTTATTGGACAACGAGGGAGTCCTTTAAAAATAGAAAAACAAATGAACGCCCATCCCTCTTTCTGGGACTCGCATAATCAAGCGCAAATCCGATCCGCGTCATTGTGGACTCTCAAATCAGTAAGAGCACACTGAATCGTACATTCAGCGAGTAAATTTGCGAAAACCGTTCTTGGAGAACCACTGTCATCTAATCTGAAATGGATGGTCAGAGACTCCGAGTCCCGACGTCGGACCCTCATCAAGCCCCTCTCTCTCTCTCTCCGGTATACCCGGGTGAGTCTCTCTACCTGGGCCCAAATCCAGGTAGGACCCCACAACAATTCCAAAGGAGTCCTCACGGTCGAGGAATATTACAGCCTAGAATTTTCATCCCTGTGTACCCCGAGCAAGGGTGCCGCAATGGATATTATGCTCTACACGATTTTTGGGACGCATACAATTTGCATGAAGTGTGACTTGGAATTAATTAAGAGTATCAGGTGTTTATCCCGCCTAGTAGCGGATCACTGTAGTGCAACGAAAGGGTCCAATAAAACAGCATTATTTATTCCGGCCTAACGTACAAAAAACGTAAAATCGTTTTTTTAGTAAACAAAGACAAATTTTTACTAAATTCAATCTACGCTCTACTTAAATCTTCCTAAAGCGAATGGATCACTGACGATCGATTGGCATTGAAGTACCAATGCAGAAGTTCTGGAATATCGTAACATGGCTATGTGACATGTTTATAGTTCTGCCACGATGCACCTTGCATTTTCGCCCACGTGTTATATACGCATTCGTGTTTCGCCAGGGCGAATACATTCAAGTGCGACGAACATCCTATCGGTATATATACATACGCGTATATATATCGCAAGGGGATACCTGCCAAGCTCGAGTTTTGTCCCACGACGTCCTCCTCCTCATAAACCTCGACTCGCCCACTCATAAGCAAACAGGTTCCATGCACAGTATCTATCTTCGCCCTTTTATACTGCCATTGTTATTATTCTTTTTAGTATGATTTTTGGGTCAAGAATCGAGGGTCGGAATCTCATCAGTGACACCTCAATTCTTATCTGGACAAAGGAGTATCGTAACTGCAACTTAAGCCGTTTCAATCTATAGCTCTAACTATGTGTACAACACTAGGGACTCGCTCCATGACGATTCCCTGCTATATTCGAGCAAAGTTCGCGATGCGCGCGCAGCCGAGTTTCCAGGAAGTTCCTGCACTCGCGATGTCGACGTCCTCGTAGACGAGTGTCGTGTCGTGGCGGCGTCTTTGCCGTCCCATCTAGAGGAAGATGCTGTAGAAAAAAGGCTACCGGAAGGTGCGGGAAAGGGAGAGGAACGTTCCCAGGTTCTCCCACGTGTAGGGGTGCCCTTGCTGTCTGCCATATGGCCCTTTTTTTAACCACCCCTATGTCTGTACTCACCCCTCATCCGTTCGGTGCGGCAACGTATTCGATCGGAATAGAGAGTGAGAGAGAGAAAGATACAAGAAAAGAGAGACTATGAGTACACCGTGTAATATCCAAAGTTAAAAAATTCGAAAATTCGTTATTAGCGAAAAAGCAAAATTTGGCAAATACAAATGTACGCGCGAACGAAAGACTTGAAGTTCGTAGTACGCGAGACAAGGATGGGGGGGGGGGGTACGGCACGTTCCTTTGATGTTGAATTAGTCGGCGTTGATCTCCTCTCGCTCTCATTTTTCTTTTATTTCTTCTCTGTTGTTTTTTTCGCTCGCTGCTACGCACGAATTCGTTTGCTCGTAGCCGCCGTGAATTTCCTTTTCCTGATTAATGCCAAATGCAATCAAATTCACAACGTGCGGGACTCGTGTAAGTACGGAGCCAATGCATCTCTCGATATGTTACGCACAACGAAATCCATATGGCGTGAAGCTTTTTTGGGGAGCCGAGCTTTTTTACGGAAAATCTTTTCCTTTTACATTTTCCACCTCATGAACTTTACTCGTGCGTTTTTGTTCAACGTCGATCGAATACGCTTCGCCCTTGGCGTCTTGTACCGCGGTAGGTAATATTTGGCGCGACATTCAAATTCATTGTGTCTTTTTAAATAATCCGTTGGTTTAAAGGGACGATCGGTGCTGATTTCCCACTGGTACTACGTAACGCCTTTACATCCCTCAGCAAGGTCTCTCCAAATTTTTCATCGGAACGTCTGTCCTCAATCCTACTTGGGTTCCCCCTTGGGGTAGATCAGTTACTAACGGATACAGGTCTCATTGTGTACATCTGAGTACGTCTTACCAGCATGTAGAAAACACTTGCACATTATTCTCAATCTTGTGGTAAAATCGAGTATTTCCCTTACTGAAATAGACGCGACTTGAACCATCCTATATGTATCACATACATACAGTATGTAGATCGTCTACCGAAGCTACCTGTAACAATTCTTATAACGATACGAAGAAATACAGATACATAAATTCCAATTCGAAGAGTATCCAGGAATACTCTATTCCGGCATCGAATCCCTCGATCGCATCCCATTGTCTTTTTCTAGATCCGGCCAATGGGGTAGAGAATTTCGGGTCTGCCTGCAATTTTCGTAGCTCCTCTCTAACCCTGCCAATCCCTACGGTTAGGACACCGCAGATGCTGCACCCCCTGTAGATTACATTGGAAGGGTTCTCAAACGGTTGCCGTCCCGAAAATTGATATTCAGGATCTGAACGAATAATAAGTTCCCGTTGGATGTATGCGGATTCGATTGAGAGTCACTGCTATAGGGGAGCTACCCCTTGGTTCCTAGCCTTCCTTTATTCATCCCCTAATGTAGGGCCGACTGCGTGGGTACTCATTGCTACGGTATATAGGGTAGGGCATTTAACGTACATATACCCCATATATACTTTTCACATAGAACCCGAGGGGATGAACCGAATGAATGAGTGGGGTCGCCCATCGTGTCCTCCATCTATCGCTTGTCACTCCCGCGAGAGGTGCATCTGATAAGCCGAGCATTCAACTGCGTGTTTGCACCAATCCGCATTCTCGGCTTGACCTTGCACCTCGTCGTACAATCACCGTCGAACTATCCTTGTGAAATTTTTGATTTTTTTTAATCCCTTTTTTTTTGTACTTTTCTTCTCTTCGGTTCGCTTTATACCATTTACAGACTTTTGTCGTATATATAGATATACCTCGGTATAGTCATACGTGCTTATACATCTTGAACTTCTCGCATGACGCTCATCGCGCGACTTTCTGTCATGCTGCAATCTTATCCGCTTTGCGAGATAGCGCCGACGAGCTAATCTGTCCGGCGGACTTTATACCGTGAAGTTGTTCGAGCGGCGTCCAGGTCTAGGAGTAAGAGGTACGTAGCTAGGAACGGTCTACGAGTGTTCATTTATTAGCTCGTGCGCATGCGCACCGAGCTCGGGGAGATAGCCAAGATCAATGACGCCTGGAGTAACTATAGAAAAGATCCTTTATCCAGATTTATCGGACGAGCTTTTTTTCTCCTTCTCCTTCCTTGACGTTACGACACGCATTCGCCTTATGAATCGGCGAATCTGGAGCAGGCGAAATTTTGGTCCCTTCGACCCGAGACGTACATGGAGTCGGGAAATGATCTTGTTTACACGGGAAATGTCGACTGGTGGGAATTCAACGAAGGAACAAATTGCGGGCGTTACGGAGACGCGGAGGAAGAAAAAAGGGCGGCACTGATAGCTCCCGTAAGAGAAGGTCCACGGGAATGAGAAGTCGCGGCAGTTCGCCCGGCATCAAATTCTGTTTATACCGCCTACCTATTTCTGAGTAAATCGCGATCCTGCCACTTTTACTGTTTCGACTGGACTTTTCTTATCCACGATTCTCAAATGTTATGAGAATATATCGAGTCGGCCTTCTCGTAGCTTTCTTTCCTCTCGCTACTTTCTCTCCTCCTCTCCAAAGAAACCTTAGTTTACATTCGCCCCGAAAATCTGCGAGGTTTCCAGATATTCATCTATCTAAACGCTAAATCCATTCGGATAGACGTTTCCTGATTCTGGATCGAGAGAACGGGTCTACGTGAAACATTAAACGTACCGATAGGAGAGAGATGTGAATAAAAAAAGGTGTAAAATTACCCTTTTTTTCTTATAAATTCCCCTCCCCCCCCCACACACACACAACTCATCGCTATGCTAGGTCTCTTTTTCGAGAATACCCTATGCACGTATGTACATTACATATACATTCGTTCTCTCTGTCGGCCGTTCCGACTGAAAGTTCGCGATCTACGCGCCAGACGGCGCTGGCTATCTGGCGCTCCGAGTCCCCTTTCGAAAATAACACACGGTCGGTTGACGTCATGCCGTCATGAGCTCCGCGAGTCACGAACCCACACAATCGCACTGCGCTAACTAACCGACCAATGCCAAGAGAGAGTTTTATCTACAGGGACCTACGATGGCTCGAGACTCGCGCTGCTAGATAGCTCATACCGAGCAAACATTACCTCATCGCGTGGAGCGTGATCGTCGAATTTTTCGGGGCGGCAGGATCGCCGATGATTTCCTTTACATCGACCGTTCCCCGTCTATGGCGACATAACCTCGTGACCGTGAGATTGTTCGTACCCAGCTGCTCGTACGGAAAACTAAAATACAGGAATAAACTCTTGAAACATTTTTATACGACGATGCGTAAAGTCCTACGAGGATGCGTGGCCTCCTCGGCTTCGTCGTACCTCGAGAATTTTTGCGCAGTAACGTCACATGGCTCAGCCACGTATACCCCGTTGGATTCGGCTGGGTATCGCCTCCTCGTAGATTTCGAACGTGGACGGACTCCAGATCCTAGGCTTCGAGGCGGAATTCGCGATAGGGTCTTTAACCTCCCACTATTTGGAGTCTCTTTGGGTTGGTAGACACAGCGTGGCAAGTAGCACCGGCCCCGAGAACTACGTTCATAATAAACCACTGGAAAACCAATGACACTGAACTCGCCTATTTATAATAGTGTTACGCTACGACCGTCCCTACCATCGGTTCTTTTCTAGCTTTGTTTGGTGAGCATCGTTACAATCGCAGCGCGCCCTACTTACTGTCATTCACTTTATTAGACTTTTTTAGTAATCCGGAATTTTGTTTTACTAAGTTATCAAATGATCTTATTCAAAAAGAGACGGTGACGTGTATAGTTTCTCTCTTCGAAGTGAACGGAATAACGTCCATGTCGTATGGTCCGATCGAGTCCTCCGATAAAGGCATCGTGTAGTCCCGGCATGGGAAATTGAGTAATCACGCGTATGGGGATTCGCCACAACTACCCTACCCCTTAGCGGGACACTGGTGCTAGGGCTTAAAGCCGGCATCGGCGGTAGCAAGCAGTTGCCCATAGCCGCTTGAAGCTCTCTGCTTCTTGACTCTGATTTATGGCCAGTTAAAAGGCATGCATTCTGCGTGCCGGCTAATCTGTTATGTTGCCCCATGCTTTCCCGATTCAACAAGTGCGCGTGCCGTCATTATTGGTCATAACAGGTTTTACGGAGTATGTACTAATTGTAAATATCCGGATTCTCGTGTAAAATCCCTACAGTTTATATACGCGCGTTTTGAATATTCTTTTTTTTTAATCTTTACGTCTTATCTTTGTTCCTCGTTATATCGTGCTCATCTGCGATGTTGACGGGTTTCAGATAAAATTGTTGTGTATTGTCGATATATCAAGGCATTTTTTCTTTGGTTATTTCGTAGCACCTAAGCTGCTGATTGGTCGACCCTGCTGGAAAGAACCTATGACTGAGTCGTATACCAAGTAGGACGCACAACGGATGTGTGTGGCTACGGCACTGAGCAACTATTGCCCAATGTCAGAAGTCATCTTCTTATACTGGAAGTACCAAACATGTTTCGTATCGCAATTGTGCTTGATTCTTCGCTGTACGAACTGACATTTTTTTATCTGAAAAATGTATGAAACGACTATTGCTAATGTCTCGATATTTTGAAGCGAAATGCTTCTGCACGGTGGACAGTAATTTATCAACTCTCTTCCTTCGTCATCCGAGCGCTTTGTCTAAAACTCACGGGGCCGTGACCGAGCGGCGGAACCTATAATTTTGAGGCAATTTGGTCCTTTTTTTTTAAACATTAAAATTCCAAAATGACGACGAACGACACGTTATTTTTCGATTCTATGCTTTTATATCTCTATATTAAGTTCTTTGTGGTAGAAATTCTGAACTGCCGTTCTTAACTTTATATGCGAGTTAAAGACATTATTTTTAGCTTAACTTGTAACGGGAATTGTCTTATGAAATATCAATTATTGACGAAATGGAAAGGCAAATTATCTGAAAATTTTGTTTCTCGACCGACACTGAATACGTGAAATAAAATATAAAAGTTTTAGAATCTACGCAAATATTTTAGTTGTAACCGAGGAGCACCGTTCATCTGAAATTTTTCGACTGGAATTTTTTTGCCAATTAAACGTCATGCACAGACCACGTGGGTCATTCTGAAGTAAAGTCGATGCCGGTGGTGACATCCTACGGCATTTCGTTGAAACTCTCTCGGGCTGCGGTTCTCATTCTTCATTGCAGCATTTAAATTCCCCGGAGGCTGGGATTTACTTACTTTCACCCGCGCGGTAGTAATGGCCTCGCTAGAATAAAGTTCTGCGCTATGCATTATGGCTGGGTTCATTTTTACACTTGAAAAACACGCGTTATTTACGTAGCAACTATGTCTGACAACTCTCACGTTGTTGCTGTCTGGAAATACTCCGCAAGAGCTGATATCTGTGTTTTACCGAAGGAGCTGAAAAATAAGTCTCCCCCCACTTCTGTCAGCAAGTGAAAATTAGTACGTAAATATGTTTTCTATGATGAATCGATAAACGACCACCTGTTACGATCTCATACACATCGATAACCCCATAAGACTTGCTCTTCGGCAGCGCGTGGATACAAAAGAGAAGGAGAAGATTTTTATAAGGGGCCCGCATGCCGGCTGATTGAACCCATGAGCAGGCTCTGCGACTCCCCTATAGCGAAGCATCCATTCCAACTGATGACTTCTATGGGGGAGGGGTCTCTGACGTCATTCCCCAAGCTACGATTCTGTCAGCGAGCCGACCCTCTGAGTCATGCCATTGCTGTGTCCTGGCTCATGCTCGGCTGCCAGAGTCCCGTAGTGCAAAGCGAACAGCAGATAGAACTTTTGAGAATGAACGATTGTCCAAAGGGTAAACAACCCTGAGACGATAGACCAACCCTTTAGATAGAACTTGAACATTGACTCAGATCAGCGTCCCATATACGATTTCGTAACTGAGTAACAGTCATGGAACTGACGTTCGAATTTTCTTTGTGTTCCAGAGTTGTGCAATGATGGGTCTGCAGGCCACAGCAGGAAAACGTAAGCTAGAGGGAGGTGTGGGCTGCATGGAATTTGACATGGACATGGGTGAAAGCCCGTCGAAACTGGGAAGAGTCGAGGGCAGCTGGTGGGCTATGGAAGATAGCTACACTCCACCGTTAAGCCAAACGCCATCCTCGTACTACGACATGGAGGTGTCATCGCCTTGTCTTCAGGCAAATCCCTGCCAACCAACCCCGAGTCCACCGCCGCCCCAGCTTCATCATTCCCAGCACTACTATCAACGCGGACCTGGTAACAACGGTTACAATCAACTATCGAGGCCACAGCCTCAATGGGGCACGCCTCATCATTACGAACCCCCTACGATACGAAGGGAAGAGAACGGCAAGAGCTACCTGGAACTGGGTTCGAGCTACAGAGCGAACGAGAGGTGCTGCGAAGGCTCGAGGTCGAGCTGGTGCAGAAGAGGTCGAGCGTGTTACAGGCAGAGGAGACTCGCAGTCCTGAATATATCCATGTGCAAGCTCGCTAGGTATAGACAATTCCCGGATCCGAGTTTGCACCGATCCGTCCTCATCTGCAACACCTTGAGGCACTTGGAGAGAGAAATGGAGAGGGATCGAAGTCCACCACCAATGGAACCCGTGATCCCAGCACCTATTGCCCAATTGCAACCGCCCGAGCAGGGCAGGCTAACGCCATTCCCGCTACCACCCAGCTCATCGAATGAGACAGATACGGATTCTGGGATTGGCGATAGCGACGATAGCAGGTCCATCAACTGGGGTAGTGTGCTATCGCTATCCAGTCAATCGCCCCTGGACCCGCTGAATAACAACGAGCTCCTCGACGTCGATATAAGTCCCGACCTAGACCTCGATTTCATGCCTGGATGGAAATTGACGCCGCTCTCGGCGGACGACATCTTGAGAAGTACAAACGGAACGCAAGATCAGGCGTCGAGTAGCAGCGGCAACAGCATCGGCAGCAGTAGTAATAGCAGTAGTAGTAGTACGCACGAGTCTCTCATGTGCGTAGGATCATAGCCTCCAATCTTGACGTCGCTGAGCCATCTCATCGATTTCTATCCCTTGACACCCCAAACGAGCAATCTCCCGAAGTCTGTCGCGCCATCTTCATCGTAGACGCGTAAGCGAGATTGCACGGTCTCTAATTATAATTTATTCTTCGTGTCAATTATTGTATCCCTCGGACAATTCGGTTCTCGATCGTTCGTCTGCGTGACTCTCCTTCGACCCGCGTACTATTCTACGAGACTCGAGTAAAGCAAGGTTGGGTATGCACGTAATGCGCTCTGACTATTAACACAATCATGAACATAATTACCGGCCGGCTTGTACGTTCGTTTAACGTACGTATTCCATAAGTTTTCGGGATCCATCTCGTCGCTCAGTCCCTCAGTCTAGAATTCGCATCCACGTGTAGCCCGTACGCTTAGTAGACGTACGTACGTACATAGAATTATGGGTCATTCGATGAAATTATCGCGGCGAATTCTAAGACCGGAACGTGACTCTCGTCGATCACTGGCGGGAAACTTTCGGAGCTTTCAACGTTTTCACCGCCCCCGGGCCGGCGATGCACCAGAGACGTGTAAAAGCGCGTGTGGGAACGCGACTCAAGGACAAAAATATATATGAGGAAATGAGATCGCAAGGAGCCTTCGTGTCCTTTGGCATAGAAGCGAATGAGAAAATAACGAAACGGATTAAAGATTATATGAAAAATCGTTAAGAGAGGCACGAGATAACGTATTGTTAATCGCTTCCGCATATTTCGTCCTCAGGGTGTATCGCTTGCCTAGCCGGCGCAACGTTGAGAACTCTACCCCGTATAAGGACGAGCGTGAGGCGCGAAGTCTAATAGAAAACTAATAATTTCAGGCGTCACGCTCGCGAAGAAAAACCGCAGTGACTTCGAAATCACGACACGTACATATACTGCGTTACATCCATTACAATTACATTACGCGTTATAAGGACACTCACATACCTTTCTACTTTACCGACGGCGATGCACAGATACATACATGGTGCTAGGATATCCGACCTGGTGCTTCTTACAGTTTTGTCTCAAGAAAGCGAAAGATAAAAGAAGAACGAGAAAGACATAACGGTATCGGGAGGACCCACGATGAGGGAAAGAAAAATGACATAGGCAGATGAGAAAGATCAGTCGTTTGCATACGTTATGAGAATTGCTCTGTTTTCATCGAGGAGACGATTAATTATTTTCGCGGACACAGCACGATGTGCATCCAACTGGGGAAATTGGCAGTACTTGTTAAGTGCGTCCGCGAGACTGAATTCGTTGTCTGTCGCGATCTAAGAATTTATTGATTCCAACGTATTAAATTAATCGTACGGATCGATAATTCCTTGGGATTCACGACGAAGAGTCCAATTCTTTAAGTAACGTGTTTTTCTATACCTACCATTCGTGTGCCGCGTGATACTTGATGAGATGAATAATCGATAAGCCGGAGAGAATGTCCCGGGGGTGTAAGAGGGATACTTTTTCTATTCCTTTTCGTTTTCCTTTCTACGGTGGTTACGCATCGGGCTGTGTCGAGTACCAAATGTACCTGTACTTTATTGAATCAGAATAACTCCATGGGCCTACCTCGTAATGTCCACTGTATACTACTGATCTCTCGTAATCTACAATTTACACGTAAATACAGTAGGCTTTATGGGTGCGCCTATGGGAATTTCGTGAGTTGGGGTCTGACGATGGGTAGGGATAGACGAGGTTAATGGGGAATATTCAGGGTGGGGCTGAGGGTGGATTTGAGTGCCGTGGAGAAAGTCCTCGTGAAAATTTAGTAATCTGCGTGCGATCCTGTCTCACGTCCACAGTTTTCCACAAGAGCGGTTATACTTAAAAGAAAGCTAAATAAATAAACAAATCTAAAAAAGGATATAAAAGCTAATTAATGGACTTGACTGATTACTTAAAAGAAAAAAAAAACAACGTAACTAATACAATGTAAGTTGATTTAAAAGAAAAGTGTAATTAATTAAATGTAACACAGAAAAATGCTAGGTACTTCTTGTAAATAAATACGTTACGCGCTAAGGTCTATATTATAATATAAATCGGATTAAACAAAAAATCTACCTATCATTTCGATTCAGTTCTCTTTTTCTTTTTGCTATACTGGTAACACAGTTATTCTTCCGTTTAATTATCGCGACTTCTCGGATCTCTTCTGCTCCATTACGTTTCGTATCTCTATTAATTTAATCGAATTCCTATACCGAACCTCCCGATTCTATTTTTTTGATGATCCTGCTGCTGCTGCCCCCCCCCCCCC